TTCGTGGCTGCCGCCGCAAACTCGACATTGTGGTGTATCGTCATCTCCATCGGAGTCTGATGATGAGTCGGAGCTTGCGGCCGATGGCGCTTGTGGGGATGACGAGTACAACCCTCCCAACATTGTGATTGGTACTGGCGGAACACGAATGCCGTCGCCAGCTTTTGGCGGAGGCGGCGCCCCTGCGAGGGGCATGGGAGGCACGGGAGGTGGTGCGGCCGGAGGCGGAGGTGGCGGAGCCACTTGATTAGCAACCAGTTGTGCAAGCTGCTGAACCCGCTAGAGCCGTCACTTGCACTCTCACATCGGCTTGATCCCTTGTACCGTCTCTTTCCAAACCGCTTGCCCTCGACGCGCCGGGGGCTGCGTCTCCAACAGAGGACGCTGCTCCTAGCACTGCCGAATGGCCTACGAGATGTTGACTTGTTGCCACCAGGGTCCCTTGAATCAGCTGGGGCACCGTGACCAAGTCCTGAACTTTGAACAGAACCACACGGAGGGTCGGGGATAGTACTTGAAAAAGCATTCCCTTGCGACGATGCGGCAACACCGGAGGCATCTTGTGAATCTGAAACCTGAGGTGCTCCAACCGGCTGATGGGTTCCTGGGGGAACTGTGCCCTGACTTGAGGCTTTAGCCGCGCTTGATTCCGTAGCTGTTTCGGCTGTTGATGCGGCTTTCGGCGGAGACTCTTGAATCGGTACAGGGGTCGCACGAGCTTGTTGGGTGAGGTGTGCAACAACACGTTCGAGATCACCAAGTCGTTGATGCATCACAGAATTTTCCTGGGACAATCCACGAATGGTATGCTCTTGACTGGCAATTGTTTGTTCCCTTTGCGAGATTGCCTGTTGAGCTTCAAGAACAATGCGTTGAACCTCCTGCTGAGCGTCCTGTTGAGTAGCATTAACAACCTGCCGTGCGTTCTCGACATGGCCTATGGCTTCCTGTCGGGTCTGCTCGATTAGTTGCCTAGCCTGAGCCTCACTCTGTTGTGCTGTTTGTACAGCCTGCTGGGCTTGCGAAGCTAGCTGAGCGGCTTGAACCCTAACATCTGACACTTCCCTTACAGCCCTTTCCCTGATCCATCCGGCCTCTTGTCTCGCCTGGTCGGCGGCTTGCTGTTGGTGCAAGGCGTGATTGGCTGCCTGAGCAGCGAGGTCGGATGCTCGATGAGCTTGCTGCACCGCAGCTCCAGCAATAAAGGCCGCAGCCGGTACGTTAGTCATCGGGTCGGGTATTTGTGATCCCTGTGAAGGAAACTGAATGGCTGGGGAAGCTTCGGATGATGTAGGTTCTGACACGATCGGACCACTTGGAGGTGATGATGGTCGTGTTTGGGCTGCTCGTTGAGGTGTGGATGTGCGCATTGTGGACATTGCCGCAGGAACCATGGCTAAATCAGGGTCATCCGGTTCAGAATCCCTGTTTGGGGTTGACCTTGAACGGGGAGCTGGTTGCGAAACGCTCAAGTGAGCCACTCAAGAAAAGTCGCCCTGCTGCTTTGCACCTGATGAATTCTGTACTTGTAATCGTACTTGTATATTGATTTGCTCGCAACCCCGCACTCTGGTGCTTTATCGAAGGATGTCGCCAAGCTGCTGATGAAAAGTCTGCTAATCGAATGCCTGTAGCTGCAAAGATGCTGTACCGCGCAAAGCGACGGTTTTAGCGGCTTGCAAAGAAAGGCTATCGAAGGACCCGATTGCCGGGCAGTTGAGATGCAGAACGATGGAGCTCCTCGAGATACTGCGAAGGGTGTAGGCCCCTTGCTGCCGGTGTGAAAAATCGATTCCGGGACTCGATGAATTCCCCAACGTTTTCAAGAGCTGTGGCAAATCCGTTCGGCCCAAAATGGGGGAAGTTGCGAAATGCTGCAATGCCAGTTTTCTGCGCCTCGCGGACGATGGCAGGTTGGTCGTCCACGAGAACGTGGACTCCCAACCCCAAGAGTGCGTCCGCCTTCCCACCTCGGCCCAGTCTCTCGTGCACGATCTTGATCTGAGAGAACGTCAATCCAGCTGTCGCCTTTGCGTGGTCCAGAGCCACCGGGAACTCACGACGGAAATCACTGGCAGCTCGGCCGACAAACGACAACACGATCAAGTTGATCGGAGCGTAGTCTTCAGTGAATTTCACGAGGTGCTGGATGATCTCGGGATTGAGATGGGGACCTTGCTGACCGACGTCCAATACCCCGTGCCAATCCAGAGCGATGGTGAGCTCCTTGGGTGGCACAGGCCTTGCAGGCGGCGGTGGTGGCGCTGGCGGCGGCCTTCTCGAAAGCATATGCCGGCCTGGGAAGTTGCAGCGCTTGAAGCAGCTGCTTTAACGACCTGTGGCGGCGGCGGCTTGACAATGTACCCTTGTGGTGGGTTTGAACCTGACTTGCTTCTGGGTTCGGCCTTGTTTAGACCTCGCGGAGGCGCCTTGTACCCGAATGCACTCTGAGTCCGAATAGGAGACCTTGCTCGAGGAGGTGATTTTGTAGGAATAACCGCTCTTGCCGGTACTGAAGAAGCTGCACGAGGAAGTTCCTTGGGCAATGGAGGCTTGCTGCCAAAAATGATCTTTGGCGCGGCCTTTCATGGCGGTTGTTGTGTTGTTCCAATCCTCCTGCTATGCAAAGCAGTAGGCTCAGTGTGTGTCGGTGACTCGTATACGCGCCGAGGCACGTAAGCCGCCCTGCCAGTTGTAAGGGCTTCCGCGTCTTGCGTAGGCTCCTCCTCTGAACTATAGGCGTCGAGGCGATAATGTTCCGCTGGTCCTGGGCGTCGATCTGGAGATCGTGATCGCGAGCTTGTGGATGATCTTCTTGGGGGATCTCTCCACGTCTCGTCCGCAAGCGAATACGGGTCAGCCTGACGGAGATGTCGGGATGTCCGCTGTGCTCGGCGGTGAGATGTCGCATCACGTGGCTGTGAAGCCTCCCGAACGAGTACCCAAGCGCCGTGCTCGTCAAATCGTGTCACAGGGTATATACTGTTCTGTGGAGCCAATACAATGGGCCGTGTAGCAAGGGAAGTCCGGGATGGTCTGCCCTCCCGCGCAAGCGCGGGTTCAACACTATGCGCGGGTAGCAGCAGTCGGTCCTTGTCTCGGAGACGATGGGGACCTCGATCTTTGTGGCAATCGTTCCCTGCTGCTCTCCTGCCGCGTTTCCGCAGCTTTAGCGTACACCCCGCGCTGTCTTGGCGGCACCTCGCAACACTTGTCTTTCCTCTGCAGATGGTCGGAGACGAGGCAATGGAGTGCGGGAGTCCTGCAGCCAGGATGAAGCAGAAGGAGGCGTAGGTGGTCGTAACCAATCCGCAGCACTGCTTGTTGCTCTCGCCGCGCCAGAGGCTGCGGCTCTATCCTGCGCCTGAACTCCTTGTGGCACTACCGCACCCGCGGCTTCAACCGACGCAAGACGTTGCTGATAAGCGTTGTCCGCGGCCTGGATGATCTCAATTGCCTCTTGGTCGAAATTCCACAAGTGCCAACTATCCAATGTCTCACGCCAGGAAAAGAGGGCCTCAATCTGTTGCTTTGAAGCCTCTGTAAACCTGATCCACCGGAAGCGTCGATCCTGCTTTTTGTATTCGTCGACGATGATCTGCTGGAGGGTGTTGAACAGACGGGCACGCGGCCCTTTCCCACCGCGAACGCCGCGGTGAGGGCCGACTTCCATGTGCGACCAAACGGTCGCAGTCACGGAAGGGTTTGTTTACCCGAAAAGCGTTACGGCTGATAACCACTCAAAGGAGAGGGAAACACAGTTTTCTCAACAACGGGGGAACCCGGGACCTTAAATGGAACGAACCCCGCCGTGACTGCGACCTCTCCCTTAACTTGTGGGCAGCGCGTGCAACGCGCTCTTTTCCTTGAGCCAAATGACAACATGCGGACATGTTGTCCAGTCTTGCAACTTGTATCATGGGTTCCTACCTCATGAACCTCTGGGCCATAAATGTCATCGTGATAATTGACTTTGTGTTGTCTGAATTTGTTTGTCTGAATATGGGACGGTTGTGCTTATTGTGAAGATGCCTTCTCTAGCTTGCAGTGCCTTTCTGACTTGTCCGTCTCCTCCATACGCCCCATGTTGTTTGTTTTGACTGCTTTGGCCTCACAACCACGCTTAAAGTAAGTTTAAAAAAACACAAAACGCTGACCGACTGACTCACCTTTGAGCAAATGTTGGCCACTGGCCCTGGATGAAAGAAAGCCTGGCGGAGGGGGTGCTAGCTACAGAATCTCCTCTATGGGCGAGGCCCTGCAAATCAACCACTGGCAACCAAAAGCTCACTGGGGCAGCAGCTTTACCGAGTCGATGGCTGCAGAGATAGAGCTGCGCCCTTTCCTGAGGCAACGATGCTATGCTCAGCTCGTTCAACAAAAAAATAAAGCAGCTCTCGAAATGAACGAACGAGCATTGCAAGCTAGAACAACAACAGGGCTCCCTTCAACACTTCAAGAACTGTTTGCTTTCACTGGCAATCAGTCAAGCAATAGCCTTCGAAAACTGATTGGAAGGCCTTTTTTCTTGGAATCTGGATACGGCCTGAAGCCAAACAAGTGTTTCCCCGGTCTTGCCAGGCATATCTACCCAAGCCACGCACATGTGGCAGAAGGGCCATAAGGGGCACAATGCTCTTTGAAACCGTCAGCTTTGGCTGTAGGCTCCGCACGCATCCTCTGACATCTCGCCAATTGGCCCTGACAGCCAGCTCGACATACACCCCCGTCTCCCGGCACGCGCGCCGGTCAAGAAGGGGCTACAGCTCACAAAGGGGAGTTCACTGGTGCAAAGCATCCTGAATTTAAACAAAAAAACATGCTTGAACGGTTGCTTGCCTTCCAACATGCCCTTACCCTTGTTCTGGCTACTGGCCGCGCAAATAGTTTGACGTTTCGTTGGCTCGTCAGAAAACACAAAATGACAAAATGACAGGGTTAAAGATCCAACCAAACTGCAGCCAGCAAATCCTCAAGACCAACTTCAAGCATAGCCAGGGCTAGCTGCTGGTGCCTTCTGCTCCTTCTTGCTCATCCTGGGTTGCCACAGACCTAGCAGCGGATGAAACGCAACTGTGAGGGCGGAACTGCCCAAAGGGCGTGAACAGTTGTCTGACCGCTGGTGACTCTTGTTGAAACTCATCCCTCATCGCTTCACTTACCTTGAGGATCCTGATCACATACTGGTTGCCGCAAGCCAATGGCAACAAGCAATCTTCACACAAGAAAGACCAAGGAAGGCTTTGATTGACTGCACCCATCAGAGGCTTGCAGCTTGCAGGTCGAGGTGCCACAGGCCTCTAAGAACTAGTAGCTAATGGGACGCTTGCGTTATTCAATTTTTTGAGGGTAAACCTTTTAAGGGCTTGAAAGGGAAACCTATTAATCAACCAACACACACACACAACCCCACGCCAGTGGGCAGCTCAGGGCTCTGCTTCACCGCGTCGGACAGCGACGTACCCTCCACAGAGTAGGCCTGCCAGGGGCCCCGGCAGTCAAAGCCCTGGGGAACCTGGTTGCCCATGTGTCCAACAGAAAAACACCAGAGTCATCATCGAACCTAGGGAAACCAACGCATGTATGATTGGGATTGCCCAACCCTTCAATCACCCAAGACCAAATTGTGGCAATTGTAGCTCTTTCTCGGTTTTCCCTCTGAGGGCACGCCTTGGGCCAATGCCGCAGTCAACAATTTTTACACATCGCCCTGTCACGTACCTCGCTCCCAGAAGCCTCACGAATCTCACTAATCCAGTGGCAACCAGGGACTAAGAGTGATCTCGTTCGAAAGCTGGATTCGGACCCTCACAGCGGTTGCAGACATGAAGCCCAATCCACCCAAGAACGTGCATCAAACTCACGTTCTCACTTCCCAGTAGCTCGAGTCAGTGCTGACCAACTGTATTCAAATTCTTCCGGTCACCTGTTACCAGTGTCGCAAATGCACACACGCGCGCACACACATACACACATTGAGATGTGCGCGTGTATGCAATGTGCGCTTGTATGACAACGCGGAAAACCTCAAACAAACACAAAGCCAACTGGGTTTATTAAAGTGACACCTTCACATTTTCCTCCATTTGAGAACTTTAAGAACAAACAAATCAACTGCAAACCCATCGCCGAACTGGATGGGCCCAGAAACGGCCCGCCCACTGCACTCGCCTGCACCTGTGTTGCCTTGTGGTGGGCCTCCTGCAGGTTCACCTGTTGGAAAACCACTGGAAAGCAAAGATGACTAAACCAGAAAGGGAGGAATAATGAAATTGTGCCATTTGCTTTCACCCAACTGTATGTAGCTGATGAACCAAATCTACTTCGCGCCAGTTGGTGGATGGGTTGTCGCAATATTTGGCAGCCCTTTGCGCTTTTTCTAAGGCGCCAACCACCACCGGCTTGCCCTGGTTCACCTCCTTGGCAAGATTCACACGCGCCAATTGTTCAGGCCCCTCCCCCCAACCCACCCATCAACCCCTACGAAGATTCTAAGCTTGCACTGTGAGGGACCCGTTTCTTCCCCTAAAACATGCCACGTTCCAAAGCTGGCAGAGCCCTAGCGCCCGCTGGGCTGCTGAGTGCCTCGCGTACTTGTTCGCGAAGAGCACCACGCCAGCGCCAGCCTCGACACTGGCCACAATTCGAGTGCCATAAGACTACGAAAATGCGGGGATATGCGGCTATGTTGGACCCTGCCCCGAAACACCACGAAGCATCCCGAGTCATCACACTTTCGAAGACCGTTCTAGTGATTCCAGCGGTTGATTGTGCTGATCCAAATGTTCATCCACTCCAACTGGAAGGAGGGCAGAGTCCACGGGCCCCAAGAAGAGCGGCCTGCAAACAACCCAGAAAAGGGAACATTTCAAGCCGGAGCTGGCTTTATGCACCTGCCGTGCGTCCTCCATCAGGGTCAAGGCCTTCTCGTACGACCTTTGGCATGGCACGCAGAACTGGTGGCATTTTTGCTTACGCAGATTCTCCAGCTCATGCGCCCCGCTGCGGGCGGATCCAAAGCAATAGAGGTCACCTGCCCCCTCTTCGTGCAACAGCTTCGTGCAAGCGGCTTGGCGTCTGTCAAGCTGTAGACCACGAACACCCACTGCGTTCGAGCGAACCACTCCTGGCATGGCACAATGCGATCAATCAGGCCCCACCTTGCGCTGCTTTCTCCCAAGTGAATTCAGGTAGGACCGCCTAGGAATCGCTTAGGGCCACGCTGCTTTCCAGGCCTTGACCAGGTGTGCGGCGCGGTCGTTGCCCGAGCAGTCCAGGAATTTCAGCAAGCGGCCTCCCACCTGCCGTCTGTGAAAAGAATGCCAACCCCACAATGAAGGTACCCTAGCCTCAGTTGAACCTCCCATTTGTACAGGTTTACTGTTGGGGAGGGGGGAGGGGATGGGAGGGGAGCGGCCCCGAAGTGCCAAGCTGAAAGAGAAAGCATCACTCTGGACAACCCGCGCCTGGAACTGATGATGCATCATGAGGTTGGACCTGTCGGCAGGCCTTTTGGGACCGTGAAATGTCAACCGCAACCAAAAGAGCTGCACGAAGGGTTGGACCGCCACCAACGCCGGTTGCCGCGCCCTGCTTAGCAAACAAAAACATAGAGGTCATGAAAGCTCATTTGATGGTGCTTCCACTTGTTTGTGACTTAAGCCCGGGGTCGGGGAAGTGACATAAAAATGCAAAGACACGTCAACACATTCCTGCAAGATTGGAGGCCGAAAGGGTACCAGGCCAAGCCCAGCAAGGAAAATCACGCGACGCGATCAGCAAAGATAAATTGTACTGCTTGTGCACGCACCTCTGCTCATCGAAGTTGGCCATTTGCGCCGGATCGTGCTCCTCTGCAAGTAGCTCATAAGATGATTGCAACTATCCAACTCGGTGAAAACATAGATAGGTTTCAAAGGCTGTGAAAACCGACACCCGACACCCAAAGCAAACAGCCCGCCCACAGCCCACGCCTTGATGAGCTCTCCCAGCATCGTCGTCTTGCCCGTCCCAGAGGCACCAACCTTGGCACGGAAAACCTGCTGCATGCCGAATCGTGTCGGCGTGCAACAGCTCGAACAAACCGTCAAACCATAGCGAAACAAGGAGTTTCAGAAAGGCTGCACACAGAGAACCACACACAGGTCCACACCAGCGCCGAGAAGCCACAAGCCTTCCACGCAAATGCCTCGAACCCTTTTTCCCATCCGCGGCCACACGGCCCAGCCAGGTCAGGGGATCTTTGCCCGGGCTGGCGTCGAACGGATTCAGCGGTGGGCGGAAGCGCATCTCGGGGCACGCGAGGGTCGGCCAGCCCATCACGCCTAGGCGATAACCACAGCCTTTCCTGAGGGCCTGACCCACCGTGTCGCAACAATGCACCAAGAGCAAATGGTTCTCCTCTCCTGCAGACAGTTCTGGCAGGAGCATGAGCACGCGAGCCCATGGAACATAATAGCTTCGACAGTCATGGGCGCAGTGGCAGTCACACAGGGACCAAAGCCCACAAACGACACAAGCACCTGCAAACTTCGAGCCAACTACACCAGCCACTTGTCCCCGGACCCTTACCAAAGCTGCCATGCCGCGGGTAGTCCACGCTGTGCGCCCAATGATGCAGACATCAGCACGGTGCCAAGGCCTACATGGAAGCATCAAGCTCAGCACTGGCATGTGGGAAAGTCAACATCTGCATTCAAAGGTGTGTTCCAAACGGCAAACGCATCCCGCAGCTGGCGCCTCAGCGATAATGGCTGAAATTCGCACTGACCCTGAGATGACTGAGCAGGCCACATCGCCACAGAGTGGCGGCACTCCGCCCTCCGCCACATCAACCATGGCAGGGGTGGATTGGCCGGCCACAAACCAAGTCATGTGACTCACTGGCCAAGGAACCACCCTATCCCAAAGACATGCCGCACCAGCCTTCGGCACAACAATTGGATAAGCCCAAAGCATGGTCAAGCCACCGCTTTCACAATCTCCTGTTGGCCTTTTTCAGGCGAGGGAACAAAATGCGCAATGGTCAACACATGTCACCAGCGCCAAGTCGCAGTAGGATATATGCCACCGTCATTGCTGCAACCAGCACGCCCGTGGGCACCAGCCATAGGAACAAGTGACGGACACCTCATTCGGGATGGGCGCGTCAAAAAAAACCAAGCCACGAACCCGAATGCAAAAGATGGCCTTGGGAATGTGCATGTTGTCAACTCGAGCAATGTTGTCCAGCTGCAGCCATGCTTTGAGCGACGCCTTTGAGCTTCTGACCGACCGCTCAACCGACACCTCTAAATATTGTTCAACGCAACACTCGTAAGCGACTTTGTCACTGACACTTTTGAGAGACGCTTCTGAGCAAGAGCTTGAGCAAGGGCGACACTTCTGAACACACTTACAGCGATATTTCGAATTACGCTCCTAAGCGACACCTGTGATTGACACGTCTAAGCGTCAAGCGCCAATCCTGAAGCCATCATTCTGAGCGACAGACTACGGCAAACTGAGCGACACCTCTACACATAAGCGACACTCTTGAACAACACTTCAAATGACACTTTTACACTTTACACACACACATGCACGTAAGCGACGCTTCTGAGCGACACTCCTGAGCGACAGTTCGGGCAACATTTATTTCTACACACATATCTGAGCGACACTTTTGAGCGACACTCCTGAGCAACATTTGTCAGCGACACGTATGAGCAACACTTCCGAGCGACACTTCTGAGCGATACTCCTGAGCGACACTGCGGACAACACCTCTGAGCGACACGTCTGAGCCACATGCACTTCTACACGCACATCAGCAACACTCCTGGGCGACACTCCTAAGCGACAATTCAAGCGACACTTCTATACACAAATAAACACCTCTGAGCGACGCGACACTTCTAAATGACGCTGCTGAGCGACACTGCTGAGCAACACCTCTGAGCGACACTTCTGAGCGACACTTCTGAGCGACACTTCTGAGCAACACATCTGATCGACACTTTTGATCGACACTTCTAAGCAACACTTCGATCCGAACAACGCTTCTAATCGACACTTCTGAGCAACACTTCTGATCGACACTTCTGAGAAACACTTCTGATCGAAGCTTCTGAGCAACACCTCTGATCGACACTTCTGAGCGACACTTCTGAGCGACACTTCATGAGCGACACTTCTGAGCGACAATTCTGATGGAAACTTCTGATCGACGCTTCTGATCGAGACATCTGAGCAACGCTTCTATTTGACATTTCTGAGCCACACTTCTGAGCAACACTTCTGAACAACACTTCTGAGCAACACTTCTGATCGACACTGCTGATCAACACTCTGAGCGACACCTCTGAGCAACACGTTCTGATCCACGCGACACTTCTGACCAACACTTCTGATCGGCACTGCTCGTCAACGCTTCTGACCTATCGACTCGCTTCTGATCGAAACTTCTCAGCGACGCGACACTTCTAAGCGACACTCTGAGCGACACTTCTGAGCAACACTTCCCAGCGCCGCGACGCTTCTGAGCAAAACTTCTCAGCAACACTTCTGAGCAACACTCCTGATCGACACTGCTGATCGACACTTCTGAGCAACACTTCTGAGCAACACTTCTGATCGGCACTGCTGATCAACGCTTCTGACCAACACCTCTGATCGACACTGCTGATCGACACTTCAGATTAACACTTCTGAGAGACGCGACACTTCTGAGCAACACTGCTGACCGACACTTCTGAACGATTAATTGCGATCGACACTTCTGAGCGACACTTCTGAAATGCAGCTTGCCGCGTCTCTTGCCAGGTCGCGTGTCTTGATGAACACTACTGAACAACAATTCTGATCGAAACTTGCGATCAACACTTCTGATCAACAACGCTTCAGATTGACAGTTCCGATCGCCTCTCTCTACTTTTGAACGACACTTCTGAACGACACTTCTGCACGACACTTCTGATCGAACCTTCTGAACGACACTTCTGATCGACACTTCTGATCGACACTTCTAATCGACACTTTTGAACGACACTTCTGATCGACACCTCTGAACGACAATTGTAATTGACACTTCTGAATGACACTTCTAATGGACACTCCTGATTCAGCGACACTTCTGTCTCGATTCGACCCACCCAAAGTGCGCAGAGGGTTCACCCACCCAAAGTGCGCAGAAGATTCACTTCGCGTTCTGAAAATGTGCGCCGCGCCACAGCGAGAGCGATTTGGTTGAGTCAAAGTGGCGTGCCTGCCACGAAACCTACACCCAGGCGCCAAAGTCAAAAAGCTCCAAAGTGCTGCGCCTGCCACGAAATTCAACCAAAACGCTCGAAAGTGCTGCGCCTGTCGCGCAAAGTAAGCTTTCCACGAACTCAAAATCATCCAAACTGCTGCAACTGCCACGAAATCCAACTTTTGACACGTTTGCGACACGCATCCGAGTGTTTTCGACCAGTTTTGACACGCGCCAGGGCCAACAAAAAGGACGCCAGGGCCAACGAAAAGGACGCCGGCGCAAACACTATCACACGCCTGCCAAGCAGGACACCTCAAAACGACCACCCCCGGAACGCAAATCCCCATGGCACGGCAACGAGAACGCACAGCCTTCCAAACACTGCGCCTGCGCAGCGAAATAACACGCAACGCTCCAAAAGACACTATTCACGCACGGGCGCAAACAATTCAGCGCTTCAAGACTCAACTTTTTCCACATGCGGACTCTTGCGGACGCTTTCGAACGCTTGCGGACACTTGCGGACGCTTGCGGACGCTTTCGGCCACACGCGAGCCGACCAGCGAACAGAACCTTACCGGAAAAATGCACGGTTCTGTGGGACATGACCCCCCCATGACTACAGACTGCTGATAGCCTTGCTGATGTACCTGAAGCAAACTGAGGCCTGCTCAATCACAAACCGACAAAATTCGAAGTGACAGGAGTAGCCAAACCTTTTCCAATATGAACTGGGGTCCCCAACACGCAAGCAGGGAGTGACGGACGCTGCAAAAACGGAGCTCCTTCGTGGCTCAAGAAACCCAGTGGCTGAATGTCCGCTTGCTTCTGCTCATGAGCTCATCTGGCATCTGCACGGTGAGCACCATGTTCACGGAGATGACCACCTGAGTCAAAAAAACCAGTGTGACGCACCAGCCGGCCTGCCATGTCCAGCCAAGGTGCTAGAAGGAGCGTCTGCCTCAGACCACAAGCAAGGTGCAGCCAAGTGTTTTTGGGGCAATCATGTGTTGTTCATGTGTTGTTCATGTGACGCAGGCTTCCGGATTGAAAATAGGAGACCCGAAGTTACCACACACCAAATCACGACCCTGGGTTGAGAACTCTTTTGCGGGCTGCGTTGCATAGCAAAAAAGGTCCGGGAAGTTGCAAAACTAGATCCTCAATGGAATCTACTGCAGTTGATAGATCTTGGTCCTAAGCGAATCAGTCGAGCCCCCCATTTTATGGTCTTGGTGGTGCCACATACTAGCAAGAACCTAGGAGGGGAGGTCAGCCCGCCAAGTTGCTCCGAATCCAGGTTATGAAAGTCCGCATCCAAGGCCAGAGCCGCGTTTGCGACCAACAGCCCTGGCAGTGAAGGCTTGCGCGAGCTGTGTGGAGCAAGTTAGATGCCGGGGTACGCACTTCCACCCACGCAATTGCTGCAAACTCTACCATTCCAAAGCATGAGTAAGAACTGGATCCAAAAGTAAATGACATGAAGCTCGTTGTACCCCCGAGCCCGTCGGAACCCATAAAAAGTGGGCAGACCGCTGTCGCCTGCCGGAGTTGCCGAAATGCAGGCGCTGGCCGACTGGGCCAAGAAGGACAACACACAGAGCTGCAGCGGCGTTCCTGCGTTTCAGCGTGGCCGTGGCCACGGCGCAGAAAATGTGTATATGTGTCAAGACTAGGAACCCTTCGGACTGGAGCAAGGTGACGCTTGGCCTAAGTTCCTCAAAGAAAGCAAATGCCTGACGTTTGGTGTTGTCCGGTCCCTTTTTGCTACTAACCCCACGGTTTACATGCATCACAGCGAAAGAAAACAAACAACTAGAGGACAATTGGCCCGAAAGCATTTTTCCCCAAGCGCTCATCCAGCTGCGGGGACACCTTTTTACATCGATGCGGCAAGCGTGTCTGCACGCGGCGATGCTCAATGTGTATGGTCATATGAGAGCTCCATCTCATCGTCCTACGAGAGGAAACATGGCAGTGTCTGCGCAAGCTGCAGTGTTCCAGACTGCCGCGCACAAGTTGCTCTCTGCAAGCTGCTGCACGGAAGTGGCTCGACATCTGTCTTCAAGCTGTTGTGTGCACGTTGCTCTGTGCAAGTTTCTCTCCGCAAGACGCTCGGCGCGTGTATCTGCGCGCAAGCTCAGCCTGAGCTGAGCTGTGGAGGTGCTCCGCGCACTATACGTCTGCGCTTCAGGGTTGCGATTTTCCGGCAGGAGTACACTCCACATACTACGCCTTCTTTGCTTGAGCCAGCCGGAGCTGCCGCGGACCAGGAAGGAATCGAACCCGCAACCGCGCGATTGCGAAAGCAGGCTCGCAAACCACGAGACAACTTCCAAAGACCATTTCGCGAGTAATAAAATCGCACGGCGCCACAGCGAGAGCGCTTCGACACGCACGATCTCCGCAAAGGCTTCGCCGAGACTAAAAAGAATTTGCACGGCGCCACAGCGAGAGCGCGTCGACACGCACGATCCCCGCAGAGGGTTCATCCGCGCGCCGCAAAAACGCCTCCAAAAAAAAACTCGCGTTTTTGCACCTCGACCATCCTCAAAAGGTCGCGAGCAGATCAGAAATCGAAAAAAACCTCGAGTTTTTGTACCTTGACCCGCAGAGGGTCGCGTGTGCAGATCAGAAACCGAAAAAACCTCGAGTTTTTGTGCCTCGACCACGCAGATCCCCGCAGAGGGTCGCGCGGGCAGATCAGAAATTTAAAAAACACCTCAGGTTTTTGCATCTCGACCACGCCGACCCCCGCAGAGGGTCGTGCGGGCAGATCAGAAATCGAAAAACCACGAGTTTTTGTACCTCGACCTTGCCGATCCCCGCAAAGGGTTCATCAAACACCTCGAATTTTTGCACCACGCCGATCCCCGCAGAGGGTTGCGCGGGCACCGCAAGAATCGCAAAAAAAACCGAGTTTTTGCACCTCGACCACGCCGATTTCCGCAGAGGGTCGCAATCCCGATCGACGATCAAAGTCCTGCCTCGGCGCCCTAGAAACCTAAACTTAACTTACATAGCTGCTAACGCCGAAGCGCTATGCACTTGCTCTACGCACTGGGGTCTACACACTTGGCTCCATGCACTCGGCTCTATGAACTCGGCTCTGCGCACTTGGCTCTATGCACTCGGCTCTATGCGGCTCTGTGCACTCGGCTCTATGCACTTGGCTCTATGCACTTGTCTCTCTGCACTTGGCTCTATGCACTTGGCTCTGTGCACTTGGCTCTACGCACGGCTCTATGCACTTGGCTCCATGCACTTGGCTCTATGCACTCGGCTCTATGCACTTGGCTCTGCGCAATCGGCTCTATGCACTTGGCTCTATTTGCACTTGGCTCTATGCACTTGGCTCTATGCACTTGGCTCTATGCACTTGGCTACGCACGGCTCCATGCACTTGGCTCCATGCACTTAGCTCTATGTCTTTGGCTCTGCGCAAGCGACTCTATGCAAGTTGGTCCGAGAGCTCCGCGCCGAAGCACCCTTCGCGACGCTTGCGGGAAAAACCTTGGCCGTGCAATTCGGCATTTGTGGGATGAAAGGTCAGGAAAAGCCTCGTCCTGCGCATGGACAAAACCCTGGAATGCCAACGTAAATACCATGGTTTCTTTACCATAATTTCCTTTCGTGGTGCAAGAAGCGGATTTCGCAACCAGTTGATCGAGCCACCACATGGGCTAGGCACGCCGCACCAACCGATGTGAGGCCCATGACCCCCAGCCTCCGACGTTGCCGATCATGAAAATCAACTTGGCCAGTGCGTTTTGCAGTCCTTTGCCGCTTCGGAGCCAAGACCCCCTGGGTTGGGGGGAAGGAACGGGGCGCTTTACCCAGGCCTCAAATGCCTCATCCCCTCATCAGTCATCGGTTTTTGTCACTTAAAGTTGGCGTCCTTCATTGGGTCGCATGTGATTCCTGCAATTCTATGCTCTGCTTCGGGGTAGGTACCGGTGTGTATGTGTGGCGTTGGTGCGCTGCTATGTTTGTGTGCTGTGCTAATGTGTTGCGGCAATGTATTGGAGTGTTGGTGTGTGCTGCCGGCGCCGGTGCACATCCAAGTCACCACTTCTGCGAACGGCAATTGCGACCCCTTCGCCGCAACCAATGGTGATGCAGGAATTCCAGTCCAGGATTTCCTGGGCTGGTGATGGCTTTGCCGCAAGGCTGAGAAGAACAGTCCGCTTGGCCGTCGAATGTTGGCCTGCCAATCTATATATGCTCCCCTCTTCTTTTTCTGTTGTTTTGTTGGGGGGCGGGGTGGTTTGGGGTTCCCTTCAAAATCAGTGCGCCTACTTTTGCGCGTTCCCGCAAAGCTGCTGGGATCTGGTCCCACTTGACCCCAGAAGTTATGAAGAGCATGCCGGCAATCAGCATCATGCTCACCAGAATGTGGCACCTGCCACACGGGGAGAGCACCCAGTATGGGCATGCTTTCTTTTGCGGAGATCCTTTTAGCGGGGTGCTTCAAAGGGAAACAAAGGGAAACAGGGCAGTTCCATCCACACCCGCTTCTCACCCTCTTCGCAGGAGACAGCTCACACAAACACGCCCGCCTCTTGAACAAGTCCTCGGGCAGGCATGCCAGTCTCGGGTCAACCCCCAAAAAACGGTATGCCGATTCACCCGCAAGGGAGGCCTCCCAATTTTCTCTGGCAAAGTCTGTCATGGCAATCACTCCAAGCGCTCCAACTTTGACTATCTGTGGCCCAACCTGCTTAGGCATGCAGGCCGCCTTTGACTGCAGAAGAGCATATGCATTTGGGTGTCTTAGCTTCTCTGCAAATCCATCCAAAGGCAAGGGTGGCTGAGGTGTTTTTGCTTGCGTAACCTTGGCAGTAGCCTTACCCTAGCACAGCCTGGCGCACACGAAAGAGCTGCATATCAATTTACAACTCAGGGTGGGCTCGGGTAGGTTTCAGGTACGTTAGAGTGGGTCCAGGGCGGGCAGGATTGGGGCGCTGGGTTTGAGATGGCTCAAGGCCAGAGGCGGATCGAAGAGAGCGGAAGCGGCCGCAGCCAAAGGTGGAGCCCCCCCGCCCCCTCAGCAAAAGATATACAGACAATATACTGGAGACAGCGCGATTACAAACAAGGGTCACAAAGCCGAGAAACGGCCCCATAAAGAAACGGTCCAAGAAGCCGAGCCATTCGAAACTTGTTTGAACGCCGTAGCCTACGGCATAGAGAGTGGCGACTGATACCGTGCATCATATCGAAAATGAAAACTCATTCTTCATCCTCTGTTTGTCTCGGATGGATTGTGTCGTCTGGGCGCAACGGGAAAAGGTTTGTACACCAACTGGAAAAGAATTGTACACATGCGGATACCTAGTTGTATCAAAAGGTGTGCAAATCGCTTTTTGGCAAGCGGTTGAAACGGTGTGAAACTATTGGCCTCTCACTGGATAAGTCTTGCTGATGAGGACCAATCTGTCGAAATTCGTATCTTTCGGATTGTATCCTTCTAGTTCTTGTAGCCGCTGGATGCCTTGTTGAAACTCCAGGGTGTCCGTGTCGTCTCAGCCTTCTTGCGACTTGTTCCCATCTCCTGTGAGCACCTCGCACATGTATTCGGTCATGAGCGGCATGACGTGAAAAACTCCAACTCTTGCATATACAAGTCCGGCTCTTGTGATGCGGTGATTGTCGTAGTGCTCCTTGGGAGTGGAAGCTGCTTTGGGAGTTGCGCCTCGGATTTCATCATTCTTCTCAGGCGATGATCTCCTTGTTGCGTCCGAACAATGGTGCGTGGCAATCGAGTTCCAATGAATTTTGGACCTTCCTTGGTGAACATTGTCATTCCCGTAGTGGCCAAGCAATCGGCCATATTCAGGGTCATTGCTGTCAGGCTCAGCGCCGAAGAGACATCTGAACATACGCTCCAGGTGGATGCATTGTCGGAAGTGCGCCGTGCCAAGAGCTTGGCTCTTGCTTGCTTGTTGGACGAGACATGCGATTGGTCTTGCATTCCATGATTTGAGGACAATTCCCCTGTAGCCGTGCTGAATGAAAAGCTTCAGGAGGGCTTGTGTTTGCTCGTCCTTTGTTAAAGAAGATGTCTGCTTGGTTCTGGCAGATGATCTGCGCAGAACTGCAAAGAAGCATCTTGGTGATGGGCCTGTCCTTCATCGGCATGTCCTTCACTTCATGATCGTTGATCTTTCGATTCTTGATCTGCATGGAGGAGGTGAAGTTGTAGTTCTCAGCATGCTTGACATGAGGGCGATCAGATGCTTGCATGAGATTCCCCGGATGTTCGCGAATGCCCTGATGACATTTTCATCTGCATTGTAGCTGACGGTCTTCAATCCTAAAGGCAAGCGGATTGGATATCCCGATTTCGTCTGGCTCGCCCGAAATTCTTCCATGGTCCGCAATGGGTGCTCCTGCTGGTAGTAGAACTCATTTTCTTCAATGTTGGTCTCGGGATCGACTTAGCACTTTCCTTGGCTTCCTCGAGCTCTTCTTTTGCTTGATCCTTTGTCAGATCGCTGCAGGGATTCCTTTCCTTGAACTCTGCAATGAAGCGGTTCAAGTTCTCCATGCTTGTGAACTCCATGGTCACCTTGTACCGAACTGATCTCTCTCGATCGGATTGTTCATGGAATCGCTGAGCAAATTCCTAGATGGTGGATTCACATTGCTCGACATCTTCTTGTTTGAGGTGCTTCTGCATGAGCCAAATGTTATTCTGGATGAGGTTGCCTTCTGCATTGAAGGCTGCAATGATGTTTCGTTGCAAAACTGTTCCGCAGTGATTCTGATGTTGTAGTTGTTCTCCTTGGTAGCTCCCACCACCCAGAGGGTACATGTTGCAATGCCTCATCAGAGGGTTCATCCCTGGCTGGAGTAAATTCTCGTTGATCTTGTAGATCTGGTCCTTGTGAGTTGCATGTAGCATGAAAGTCATCGGCGACTTGTGGAACGGTTTGATCTTTCTCTGTTCGTGGACCGATGGAGGCGCTGGACGTCGCGTTCTGTACTGAGGAGATGCACCTTTGTCTTCATCGCCTTGGTGTGCAGGATGACGATGGAAGCTCGTACGTCGGCTCGCTCCTTCTCCTTGTCCTTCTGCTCATGCCAGAGAGGTCGGCCAAGTGTCTCGATGTTGACATTTCTTGTTTGGCCGCTGTTGCGCCGGATGTACAATTCCATGCCTTGATAACCACGAAATTTGCGTCCATTTGCTCGAAGTGCTGCGGATGCTGCTCGGCTGGTAAAAGCATCGATCCATCGATGCGGGGGAACGATTTGACCTTTTGCGCGTGCTTCGTATGTCCATCGAAGGATGGAAACACGAATGCGATCTCGAATCGGCCCTTGCCATATTTTGGAAACATAGTCATGAGAAAGATGCCCGGCCGATTGCCCTGGAAACTCGGTGCATGGTTGATGACGCTCAATGCTTCATAAGGCTCGCATGATCCGTCGTCATTCACATCTGCATTGCGATATTTTTGTGCTTTCCTTCAGTTCGTGTCGAAGAGCTGCAGAAAACAGCCTGCTCAATCTCTCAATGCGCCAAAGGGTGAGATGAGCAATGGGCTGCGCCTTGTCTTCATCGATGCTGAAGCATTTGCAACTGGAGGTCGCATTCTCGACGGTCTTCTGAACATCAACCTTTCCGTTGTGGCAGACAATTGGTTTCATTTTGACCGGTTTTTCAATCCTCAGTCCTTGACATTTGCTTTGCATTTGACCTTGCTTGACACTCAAGAAGTATGTGTCTGCATCCGCAGCCAACTTGGTTTACAACAGACAATTTTCGACTGTGCATGGACCACCATTCTGTAGACACGCCGCTCTTCGGAAACATGTTTGGACGAGCGTCCGCATCAGAGGCCCAGGCTCCAGGAGAAAGTGAAGAGACGTGCATACCCTCATTCGGGACTCTCCTCCCCAGGAGGAGGAAGGAGGTAGAGCAGGTAGATTGGGAACCATCCTATCCATCGGATGCAAAAGCGTGCCGAGGAATTGAAGAAGCAACTGCATCTAAGGCCAGGGCGATGCCGGAACCTCAGCTGGACGAGGAGAGTGAGTCTAAGACCGATCTCTGCAACGAACGTGGTCGCCCGCCATTGCCGAGACGCACGCCGCTGAAGGTCGCACTGGCGCCTGAAGCAGCCGTGAATTAGCGTGAGGCACCTCCGGGTAATCGCCCCAAGCGAGTGAACATTCCGAACCGCTTTAGAACCCAGAATTTCTGAAGTTTGTTGAAGAGTACTCCATCCTCAAGCACGATCCCAACTTCTTCTACATCCCTGAACACGAGAGAGGACCTGGGGAAAAGCCATGTGGTTGAAGGTCCGTTTCAACGACCTATGGAATCCAAACTTCCGGGGATACAGCGACAACAAGTCGGACCATTACATGACCTTCATCAAGAAGATCCATGTCATGTGTTGTCACATCAACAATGGAGCGAAGAACTACGACGCCGCACGCCCAGGTTTCCCACTATCCCGACTCCTGCAAGGGCAATAATGTCGGGTCCGTGCTTTGTGTTGCGGGCAAGCCACTCTCGGCTGAATGCTTGGTCAGCGAATCTGCAAGGCAACCTTCACTTCGTACATGTGCAAGGTCGTGCATCTGTCCGCTATTGCTTTCCTTCTGCAACATTTGGATTGAATGCATGGCTTCTTGTGGACACGGTTGTCGCGGTGATCTTACGCGTCTCACAATCGACCAGTGAGCTTCTCGAGTTCGACGAACCCTTACAAAGATCTTGTTCTTCTCCAAGAAAGATAACACGCGCACGTTGTGAAGATTTATCTTCATTGTTGCGATAGGGTGCGTCTGGATAGCCAACTATGTGTCTTACCACGAAGTAGCCAGAATCTCACGCTAAGCGGAATGCCCACGATGGTTCTGACTCCTATTAATGGCGCGAACGTGCGCAATGGTAGGTAATGCTGCTCTGCGGGCAAGACATTTGTTGGGTGGCAGCAGAATTTGTACAAATTTGGGATCAAGAAGTTTCGGACGGGTTTCGGCCGCAGAGCAGTCTCTGCATGCTAGCTCTGTAGCCCGTAGTCCCATGTGCAGCAGACCGGCGCATCAAGTTCAGCAGCTCCGGGAAGTGTGCTCGAATTTGAAAAGGCAGCTGCGTGAAGCCAGCAGCTCGGCAGATGCGGATCGCAGGAGCGACGCGGCGCGTCGCCGGATCACTCCGCATCTCCGAAGGTGCATTCTGGCTTCGTTTGCCATGGGAGGCGCGGCGGCCGCGGAAGAGTTTGCTGCTGCCAAGTTGGGCAACGCTCAGCTAGCTGGACAGTGCGTCGCGGCAGCAAGTCTGGCTGACATTGGACGAGCTGGGGGCTCTGATGCACGAGACTGGATGGCCCGAAAGCAGGGCGCCAAAGCGGCGGTGGCGAAAGCCGTAGCCGCACGCAATGCTGCTGGCTACGCTCCGGCTTCGCTAGAGGTGTTTGAGATGTATCAGCGAATGCTTCCAGAAGACGAGCGCTGTCGCGGCAGAAGGCTCTGGACGCAGCGGTTTTGCAAGCAGTGGAAGTTCGTGCGTCGCAGAATCGGCCTGCATCAGGAGGAGCTGACTCTGGAGCGAAA